ATTTGAAAAACCATTTACACCAAAAATACCAAAAGACTCATTGATTATATCACCACAAACCTCAAAGTATGCAGAAAGCCTAAACAAAGACAAAAAATTTATAACCATATCACACAAACCTATATTAGGAATATACACAAAATCCAAACATATTTGAATCTTAATCCCAGATCTAACACCACTAAAGAACCAACCCAAGATTATTTAACCAAAAATTACAAGGGTATAATAAGTTGATAGCTCAACCAAAAACTAAAGCAAATTTAGTTAAAACCTGTTACAACTATGGATTATTAAGTACAGTTTATACATACGATGGAGAAGAACTAAGTGGTATACCGGAGATACACAGAGCATTCATAACCTATAAAAGAGTAACAAAAGGCAATCTATTTTATGTAAAGCTTTATGCGGCCCGACAGAGATACTATACGATGAAATAAAACCAATAATACAAGTTGTAAAAATAGGATTAATCAGAGATATGATAATTCCAGAAGATATCGGAACAACAACTGAAAATACAAGAAATTGAGATACCAAGTTTCTATGCTAATAAGAGAATAATTGGTATGTCAACAATTATCCAAGAACTAGCAAATAATTATCTAAATGGGAATGCAATATGGAGTTATTATTCACGAGACTAACTTATGATATATTCAAACTCAAGGGAGCTAAGGCAAGCAGATATGGACGAAGTACAAAAAATGGGTATTATCTCTACTCAAACCAGAAGAACAACCTATTACCAGAGCATTAAAGAAGGGATTCATCTCAAATGAACTATTAACCAGATATTGCAAACTAATTGGATACAAATATCCAGATCATATATGTTCAAAATGCAATGGAGAAGATAATGTAATCCCCGATGTCCAGCTGGAATGATAAAATAAAAGAAGATAGAGACGGAAAAGAGATAAGATAAAGAGAAGAAGACAAAGAAGATAAAGACAAAGAGATAAAAGAAGGCACAAAAACGTGTTTGCCAACAAAGCCACACAAAGCCAAAAGTAGATATAAATTATTATGTAAAAGTCTTAAAGTGTACAGTAGTAGTCAATTTATTATTATTAGGTACAAATTGGTAGAGTAAATTAGTCAACATATGCATGTGCATTATTAAAGTAGTATTGACAAGTGTAAAGTATGGTAGGTGGTATATATTATTGAGTAGACAAGTGTAAAAGTAGTGGGTAGGGATGATTGTAAAGTAAGT